TAATAAAATCTAGGTATATTATCTTGCATATTTGACAGTAAAATCAAAGTTTCCATTTTTTAATGTTACTATGCTGTAAGATTTATTCAACTAATGTCTCCTAATTTTGTCATGAGTTTATTTAAAATATCTTTTAATATGAAAGTGTTCTAAGTATTCCTAATCAAAATAAAAACATAGATATATTTAAGAATCTACAAAATTAGGCTTTGTAATGGATCAGTGTTTAAGTAAAGGGAGGAAAGGTATCAAGTAATTGTAATGAAATATTCATCAGCTGTAGAGTGACCTGCTCATCCACTTGCCAGGTCTTACCTTCTGTTTCTGTTTCATTTGTCTTTAAACCTTCGTGTTGAAACACTGGAGCTGATGCTATAAGACTCTTTCTGCTTTAGAGTTGGAAATACTGAAAGATTTTGACATTCAAGATTACATCTCCTCCCCCTAATAGCTGATGAAAATTCTTGGAAAAGTAGTTGACTTACAAACTTAGTAGCAATGGCATATGAAAATCCAAAGGATTTTTGTGTAGCATTCTGGGGTTTTGGTGGATATCACTTATTTTCCTTTCTCTTCTGCCATGTTAGATTTAGTATAGATTAATATATTCCAAAGTAGAGCCCCGGGTGATTTCCAGAGACTTTCATCTTTTACCGTATCACCTGACTGTCCTCTGTTTTTCCGATGTACTTTAGAGTGTCTGTGTGGTACACTAGAACCTGTCAGAAAGAACTAGAAGTAAAATTGTTGAAATAGCAACCTTCCTGTTAGTAATTATATGATAACTTGAAATTTTTTCATTGTAGATATGTCTATGTTGTGTGAATCTGTTGCATATTTTTATCTTCAAATTTCATTACGTTCAGTATGCACATATGAGCATGTCTCTAATGACTGACAACTATATTTTGGCTCAAGCAAGGCTTAAAGTCAAGTAAGTTAGCTCGACTGCTTGAATTCCCTCTTTGTTTCTTGATTTCTTATGGCTATGCTTAGTTGCAGTGATCAATTAAATAGTCTAAATACTTTTTCGTGGACTGAGGGTTGTGGGAATACAAGAGAAGTTTGTTGTGGTCCTTATTTTAAACAAATTTCAGTTCTGTTGTGAAAAAATGTATGCGTGGGAAATAATTATAAAAATAGTAAATCATTAAAGATTAGGTCATAAGGTATAGCCTGTGTGTGAAGGAAGAGCCAAGTGGCTTCAGAGGAACAGGGTTGGACTTACTGAATAAGGACTCTGAATTGAATAGGACTCTGGAGCGTGAATGCCTGGATTTGACTCCTGGCTCCACCACTTACTTCAGCAATGTGAGCCTAGTCAAGTAATGCAACTTCTGCCTCAGTTTCCTCATCTGTCAAATGGGGATAATAGTATAACTGCCTGCTGGGATTGTTAACTTGTGACCTTTCTGAAAAGGACTTTCTTGAGAAAATTAAGCCCTAATAACCTTAGGCATATGTTTCTGTAATGACTTTCTCTTCTATGTATCTGCAATGGCACTAGTTACGAACTGTCCTTGGGAGATTTGAGAAAGCCACTCAGATCACTTTCCCTGTGTAGTGGTTCCAGTAAGGAACCCTACTTGAGGATAACGTGAGTAATAAATCATGTGAAACAGGGCTTTGAAAGTGTTAGTTATCATTGTTGTTAGACTCTGAAAAAAAGAGGATTTAATTAAAGGTAAAGGGTTTTTCATGCTGAGAGAAGCTAAAGGTTATCTCAGAGTGTTTTCCATCTCAAACAGGGATCCAGTTACTTTGTGTCTCTGGAACCAAGATGGGACTTGGAAAATCAACACTTCGTCATCAGTCAGAAAAGCGTGGAGCATTTGAAAGGAAGATTACGCACAGAAAAAGACGCTTCTTAATAAGCATGTTACCTGTATCCAAGCCACATACATTCATAAATATCATACTGAAATTATGAGAGAGAAAAAAGTTTTTAGTGAGCAAGAGAAGGCAAATGGAAATTAACCATGTACCAAAAAGGTGAATTGACACATCTTTTTTTTTTTTTTTTTTGGTGGTTATATATATATATATATATTTTTTTTTTGGTTTCATATAAAGGCAAGTTAGACATTTGTTTCATTTGATCTACAGTGCCATGGGAGCACAACTTTAGGTAGGTTAAATACTAACAGTTGGCTGTTGAGTATAAAGATATTGGTGACATTGGGAGAGTCATTGCAGTGGAGTTCACCCCACAGTGCACGTTAGTACGTGTGCGCTCTCTCTCTCTCTCACACACACACACACACACAGAGGTTCAATATATTTGTAAATTCATCTGGCTTTGACACAGTTAACATGCTTATTAAGAAGTCTGTGGTTTGTTGTTGTTGTTTACTGCAGTAGACCCCTAACTCGTCATCCCACATTCAGAGTCCCTCCTCCCTGCATTTTACCCTGCACATCACATCTGTGATCATTTTCTTTCACTGTTCCACTTGACCTCCACTACTGTGCTCACCCCTTCCTCAGCCCAGCCTCTGGGACCAAGTCAGACTTTAGGGAAGATTTAGAGTTCCAGTTCAATACTGGCAGATTCAGCAGTCGGGATAGTTGATGCTGTATTGTTTGTTTAGTAGTATTTATAATTGGTGTACTGCTTTGTTCCAATGATCAGTTCCCCACCTTACACCCCAGTTTGGGTACCTGGGCTACTTTAATTTCTCTTTGCAGAGTCCTTTGATAACTCTAAGCCTATTCATGACACTCAGGGGCTCTCTCTGATGTGTGACATTCGCAGTGCCCCATCTGTTAATTTATGCTGCAACTCCCTGAGACTAACCTCCTGATTAATTATTACCTGTTGTCTGTCAGGGTTTTATCTGTTTTCTACCTACTAAATTTTCCATCACTGCCTGCTGTTGGCTCATCACCTCCCAGTTTCTAGTTCCAAATCATCTGTTCCAGGTTCTCACTGCAGAGACCTCAGGCACTGCCTGAAAACTGACAGTGGCAGAGGGGGAGATGTTCTTTATAAAACTTCTCTGGCAAAGGAAGAAGCCAGCTGAGGAGATGCTATTAAATGCATGAGGTAAAACAAGGCTATAGGAAAAAACTGGGAAAGTTTTAGCATTAAGAACCCAGATGAAAGCCTTTTCTTTCTTTTGTTTGAGACTGTAATGTAGAAATTTTAAGATGGAATATGGGGAGGAGAGTGAGGGAATTTGATTGACTCTGTCATCTCTAAAGTTTAGGTAGAGATGTTACTTGTTGATAGATAAATTGCAGTGGCTCCAAGAGAATAAAAAAAAAAACCCAGAATGGTTTAAACGAGGATGGATATAGTCAACCAAGGATGTATACAAGGATTGTTGAACAGCTGTGGAATAAGTCTGATTATGTTTGGCTCCTGTAGCTTTTGGGAGCCCTATTTATTAGCAGACTGGCTAATTAGTTAGTCAAGTGTGTACATAAAGTTTTTCTAGGAGGATATTCCAGAAGGAGTTAAAGGAAGCTTACAAAAATATATCTAGCATGACAAAATAAAATTAAGTATATATTAAAAATATGTATATTAAAAAAGGATAAGATGGAGCTCAGAATATTACTCAGACAATATATTACGAAGTCTAGAAGTGGGTCATAAATTAGATGTGGGCTTCCTAGCAGCCAGGGTAAAGATGGAAATAGTAATTACTAATTCCAACCCTGTAAGATGTAAAACAAATGAGTTAACTAGGCAAAACACAAGACTTGTTGACACTGAGAAAATATTTGCTCAAGGTCTTTTCTGGGAACTTATGAACTAATAAAAATGGGGGACATGTTTTGGGTCAGCAGAAATAGCTCTAGGAAAAATCAGTCTTGACATAAGAAAGTAAGTTAGTTAATAGCAGTGTTTCATCTTTCAGGTGTTGGAATCTATAGATGTTGTTAAGTGGGCAGAATTAGACTGGATTAGAACAATTAGGGTAAAACTATTCTGGTTACCAGTGAAAACACATAACTATAGTTGGTCATTCAAGCACTGTTTTCTAGGAAGTATTTGTAAATTTTAGACATTTGAAAATATCAGTTTATTCCTAATCATCAAAGCAGTCTAGATGTATATATATCCCTGCTCATCTTGGGTTTACGTGGATACATTCAAATTCAGATTGTTGAAACATTCTTAGATATCAAGTGTTTCCAGCACAAATGAGTAAAAGAAAAAAGTAGAGAATACTTTCTTTTGAAACTTATTTTGAAAGAATCTAGTCTAGCATAGTATCTAAAGCCAACTAAATTATTTGGTGAGGCTAAGAACATGGCAGTGTGCCCAGGGAACCGGTACCTACAGGAGTGAGCAGGACCGGATGTCTAACTCTGCAGGCCAAAACTGAATTGTATTTCCAGTGAGGGAGAAACCGTTAGTTAAATTTTTATATTTAGGTTTTTCATCTCAAAACTAATTAAGGGATTTTACCTTGACTGTAGCCTTATTTAATAAGAAAAAGATTTACATTTCCTTAGATTGACTTAGAGCAGTTTTTTAATAAGAAGGATTAGAAAATATTCCTTCATGTATTAAATGCATTAATCAAGTCAGAAGCTCTTGTTTTAATTAGCCTGAGGGTGGATTACTAAGCAGCAAGGTTGTACAAACAAGCTGCTAATTATTCTCTGAGATACTGGCCAGCCATGAAGACCTAATGATCAAGTAGCAGAGGGTGAACAGATCTATGAATTATTTTATGTTTGACTGACTAAATGACTGAACGGATGAACATTTGCTGAGCGAGGTACCTGGGATAGAAATACGATAAAGTCATGGTCTCTGCCCTCAAAGTCTTCTAGGGGGTTATCTGGTCTATTTGGAACGTAAGCCAGTTATACTACAGTGTGGCAAGTTCTCTGATAAATGCTTGGTATGCTGTGAAAATAAGGAATGAGGGGCTGGGGGATAAACTTTTCTAGAGGATGAGACATTTAGTTGAATTTTTAAAAAAAATTTTATTGAAGTGTGGTTGATTTACAGTGTTAATTTCAGGTGTACAGCAAAGTGATTCAGTTATAAATATACATACATAGATATTTTTTCTTTTCAGATTGTTTTCCATTATGTTATTACAAAGAAATTGAATGTAGTTCCCTGTGCTATACAGTAGGTCCTCGTTGTTTATCTATTTTATATGTAGTAACGTGTGTCTGTTAATCCACAATCCCTAATTTATCCCTCCCTACCTTTTCCCCTTTGGTAACCATAGTTTGGCTTCTATGTCCGTGAGTCTGTTTTTGGTTGTCATTTAGTTGAATTTTGAGGGAAGTTACTCACTTGGGAAAGGATTTCCCAGAGAAAGTACAGACCTCTCACTCTTAAGCAGTGTAGGTCTCTGAAGTAGGAAGGGTATCCCCTGTGTATGCTGGGGAAAAGGCAAGGAAAGGCAGGAGATGAGGCCAGAGGGGTAAGGAAGGGGCTAGAATAGGAAGGACTTTTGTGCTAGGATAAGGACCTTCACTTTGTCCTAAAAACTATAGGGAAACAGAAGGATTTCTGAGCAGAAAAATTAGATGATTAGATTCACATTTTGGAAAGACGGATCTGGCTGCAATTTAGAGAAGGGATTAGCTGTGGAGAGCAGTGCTGTTGGCAGTGAGACTATGTAGGACACTGTTGTCAGTAGTAGGTGAGAAGTGATCGTCCTGAATTAAGGCAGGGACAGCGGCGAGGAAAGGAGGGGGTGAGTGATAGCCTCAAGGGGATGCAGAATCTACTCTGAGTCACTGCCAGATGGGGTGTGAGGGATGATGGAAAAAAGGGATTGAAGATAATTTGTGGTTTTCTGATTCCAGCCACAGGTTTTTGTTTTGTTTTAAGTTGAGGTAAAATTCAGTTTAATGTAAACAATATAAAATTAACCATTTTAAAGTGTACAAACCAGTGGTATTAAGTACATTCACAATATAGTGTAATTTGTCAAATTCCAAAACATTTTTATCACCCCAGAAGAAAACCCTGTACCCGTTAAGCAGTGATTCCCATTTGCCCCTGCCCTCAGGCCCTGGCAACCACCTGCTCTCTGTTTCTGTGCATTTAACCTATTCTGAATATTTTATATGAATGGCATCATACAATATGTGATATCTTTTGTCCGGCTACTTTTACTGAGCATAAAGATTCCCAGGTTCATCCATGTCATTCATTTTTTATGGCCGAATAACGTTCCTTGGGTGTATGCACCACATTTTGTTTATACGTCTGTTAAGGGACATTTGAGTTGTTTCCACCTTTTGACTATTGTCGGTGCTGATGAGAACATTCGTGTGTAAGTATTTGTATCTGTTTTCAGTGTTTTTGGATATACACCTAAGAGTGGAATTGCTGGGCCATATGGTATTTCTTTAATTATTTTGAGGAACCACCAAACCTGTTGCCACAGTTGCTATAACATTCTGCATTCCCAACGGCAAGGTACAAGGGTTCTAATTTCTCCACATCCTCACCAACACTTATTTTCTGTATTTTTAATTATAGCCATCCTGGTGGGTGTGAAGTGGTATCCCACTGCAGTTTTGATTTGCATTTCCCTAATGACTAAAGATGTTAAACATCTTTCATGTGCTTGTTAGCCGTTTGTATTATCGTCTTAATTCCGCTGCTACGTATATACCCCAAAGGTCTGTTCAGTATATACCAGACCCTTATCAGATATATGATTCACAAATACTTCCCCCATTCTGTAAGTTATCTTTTCACTTTCTTTATTACTGTCCTTTGATCCACAAAAGTTTTAATTTTGATGAAATCCAACTTCTCTATTTTTGTTGTTGTTCATTGTGCTTTTGGTGATCTATCCACCTAAGAATCCATTGTCAAATCCAAGGTCGTGAAATTTTTATTCTGTTTTGCTCTAAGAAGTTTTAAAATTTTAGCTCTTATGTTTTGATCATTGGTCTGTTTTGAGTTTGTATATGGTGTGAGCAGGAGTCCAGCTTTCTTTTTCTCATGTTGATGTCCAGTTGCCATCAGCACCATTTGTTCAAGAGACTATTCTTTCCCTATCAAATGGTCTCGATACCCGTTTCTAAAATCAGTTGGCCATAGTTTATAGGTTTATTTCTGTATTTTTGTTGTGGGTGATCTCTGAAATGTCTGTTCCTTTAGCTTATGGTCAGCTAGTGTTTTGACAGATTGCCTTAATACCTGCAGTACCCCCCGTCCCCCCCGTCCCCCCCACCGCCCCAAGCTTTCCCAGTCTTGCAGACTGGCCCTGCTTTGGGACACTCCTTTAAAGCTGAGCTAGGCTACTTACAGGTCTCCCTGAGCCTTCACTTCCTGATTGCACTGAACCCAGAGATCACTAAGGGGTGACATTTTAGGGTCTCCTCACATCCTGCCCTGGACTTGCATGTTGGCTTTCTAAATTCCCCAGTATATAAAGGAGCTTTCCAATGTACTAATTTTCCAAACTCTCTCTCCCCAAGCCTTCAGCAGATCTTCTGTGTACCTTACCTGTAATCTATGGCCCAAGTGACAGTGGGCTGGTCATTTGCATTTCAGTGTTTTCTAGGAATGTCCTCTGCTTAGCCACTTTTCCACCCTGAGTCTAAGTTAGGTGAAGCAAAGGCAAGTGCCTGTCAGTCCTTCAGGTTGTCCCCAGATAGGTCAAACCAAACACGATTCTTTGGGAACAAGGTCTGCTCTGCTCCCTGTGCAACCGGGGACCGGCGTCCCAACGCGGGAATGTCGGCACCATCATCAAGACCATAGCAGAGCCAGGGAGTTGGGTGGGGCTAGGGCATGGAAAAGTGCTGCAACGTTCACCTACCATTCTCATGTTTCCTCTTTTTTTGATTCACTATTTGCTTGGTTGCTCATAAGCCTTTGACTATTTTCTAGAATTCAGACAAAGTTGATTCTGATAGTTTTGCTCATTTTGGGGGGTGTTTATGTAGAGGGGTGGGCCCCTGGGGCTACCTACTTCGCCACTTTTGCCGCTATCACTCCCACGGGTGGCTTTTTGAGGCATACATTTGATGGGAGAAGTGAAGCATGTCTGAGCCAAAGAGAGAGAGAGTTATCGCAGGTAGAGAGCTACCCAGAGAGAGTGTATCTCTCGAGCATTTTTCAAGGGAAATATTAGAACTCAAATTTATATATTTTAAGGTTTTTTTTGTCATTTGATGTGGGATTCATGTAAAAGAATTACATAGTGTTTAAGTAAATTATGAACCAATATAAACACCTGTGACTCTACTACCCAACTTAAGAAAACTAAAATATTAGAGCGTCTTTGAAACTATTTTGTATTCCACCCTCACCTCCATCCTCCTCCACCGTCCCCCATCTTCTCAGGTCGCCACTACAGTGATTTGTTTGTTTGTTTTTTTGCTTATATTCCTGTGTTTTAAAACAAAACAAATCCCACAGCAGCTTAACTAGATAAGTATATATCCCTAAACAATGCGTTGTTGGTTTTGTCTGTTTATGAGCTTTATAAAAATGGAATCCTGTAGGGAGTCTTGTATGTGTTACGTTTTTCACTCAGTACTGTTTTAAGAGCATCCGTATTCTGTATAGCTGCAGATGCTTCATTTTCATGAATGCATAAAACTTAGATGTGTACATGCCCCAAGGTTTATCTAGTCTCCTCTTGATAGGCATTTAGAGTTGTTCCCAGTTGTTGTTGTTGTCTTTTACCAGCATGAACATTGCTACTGTGGACATTTTTATGCATGTGCACAAGACGTGTATAGTGTTTGCACTGGAGTGAAATGGCCGAATCATAGAAGAGACACACGTTCCGCTTTCCAAGTTGACGTCACATGGCTTTTCGCAAAGATCGTTCCAATCTGCCCTCCCATCAGCAGCACATAAAAAACCTCACTGGTATTTTCGCCATCATTTGATTTTGACGGACTGCTTCAGTTTTGCTAACACAACGCGTGTAAATGTTAGTGCACTGTGATCATAATTTGAAGCTGAGTACTTTTCTAATATGTTTAAAGTCACTTGGATCACCTCTTCTGTAAAATTCCTTTTCCCATTTTTCCATTGCATTTTTTGTATTGTACTTATTTGTGGAAGCTTTTTACATACTCTGCAGACTGCTCTTTTGTTGGCTTTGTATGTTACCAGTATTATTGTCCAGTTAGTGGTATGCCTTTTCACTTTCTTTATGAAGTCCTTTGAGCAGAAGTACTTAATTTTTAATGTATTCAAATTTATGAATATATTTTCTACAGTTGATGATTTAGGGTTTAAGGAATCTTTTATAACCTCAAAATCATCAAGACAGCTTCCTATAATTTCTTTTAAAATATTAAAGTTTGTTTTACACATTTACATCTTTAATCACCCAGAATTCATTTTTTAAATGAAGTACAGCATACAGGAAGTGCAAATGTTGTATTACTTGATGGAATTATCACAAAATAATGGATATGTCACCTCCACTCAGATTAAAAAAGACCTAGGACATTGCTAGCATTCTAGAATCCCATTTCAAATCACCTCCTAAAGACTACCCTCATTCTTCTCCCTAAAGATACCTAGTCTATGGATTTCTAACAGTGTCAGTTACTTTTGTCCATTTTGAACTTTATAGAAATGAAATTATATGCTGTATATGCTTGTATTTCTGGTTTTCCTTGCTCAGTGTTGCATTTGTGAGATTCATCTATGTTGAGTTTAATGGGAGTTTGCACGTTTTCATAGCTATGTAGTATTTCATTGCATAAGTTATAGCACATTCTATTTTTCTATTGATAGACATTTAGGTTGTTTCCATTTGGAGATTCTTATGAATATTCAGCTATGAACATTCTTACGGATATCCTTTTGGTGCGTATATGTTTGTGTTTCTGTTGGGGGTAGTCCTAGGAATAAAAGTTGCTAGTTGGTTTGTGTATGTTTATCTTTGGGAGATATTACCATGTTTCCAAAGTGGTTGTACTTACTTTTTACACCTTCCAGCTGTATATGGGTGTTCCGTTTGCTCCAAACCCCATCCATCACTTACATTTAAATCCACTTGTCAGTCTTTCTAATTTTAGCCATCTTGGT